GTGTGCCCCTTTTGTTTACATGTGCGGATTTTTTTTTTGGAGGCGGTGCCCAGGTAACCGACTGCCTACAACCTGCCTACAGATTCACCAAGATTCGAAAGTTGGGACTAACCAGGCAGCACAGACGAGCCGCCAATGCTGGTCACCAGCTAGTCCACCCGCAAGGAAAACCCAGCGCCATCTCGTGCTCGCTTTAACTGTCGCCGAATCGAACCAGTACAAGCCCCTGTCCTCGGCCTTGCAGAGCCTTGGCATCGAAAACAACGTTCCTTGTTCTACCTGCAGCTGGGGCTGCGTCAAACCACCAAATGCGTGCCTTTTCCCCTCTTCCTTCTTTGGCTCACCCCCCAACAGTCGCCATTGAAACCCCCAAGAATAACGGGGCGGAAGAAGCGGGAGAGTGAAGAAAAAAAATACAGTTTAGCAGCCCGAGAACGAGGCTTCCAGGCTACACAATCCCGCAGGCAGATCTTGCGCGCTTGCCAGAACAACCGAGGGCGGTGACGCGGGGACCCGACTGGGCCTACATCGATGCGACGAACACCACGAGTCGAGAAGCACGCTCGCGTCGCACACCTGCACGCACCTCCATGAGACGAGGCGGGGGGCAAACACCCTTCCATCCCCTAGACCGCCATTTCGCGGCCGCGTGCGAGGATGCTGCCCATGACTTGCGGATGAGGGCACACGCGGGCTTGGTTGCTCTAGGCCACCCCCCAGCTCCCCCTCCGCGGCGCCGGTCGATGGGACTGGTCGGGTCGCTTGGCTGGCTGGCTGGCTGACTGACTGTGTGCGTCGCACAAACGAACACCCCTTCTCGAGAGCCGGCTGGTCGAGGGCGAGAGTCCCAATTGTGCTCGGGCAAGTCCAGTGTACTTGGGTCATGTCGCCAAGGTACATGTACAAGCGGCACGGCCTTTGCACCCACAACGGCAGCACATGTCCCGGCATCGAGCGGCCGTCACCAGAGTCTGTCACCTCTCCATCCGATCTGGATCGGCCCCTGCTCCCACATCTAGCTTCCAAATACAACAGAACAAGGCCCATCAGGCAGAGCACCTCGAGCTCCCAGAGCCTCCGCCATCCGCGAGAGAAGCTATACTCTGGACGGCCACTGATCCCATTCACATCCTGAGCCGGTGACATGAATTGCGCAACAGAGTGACCCCAGGTGGCGGACTATACCCTTGATCAAAACCAACAAGCAGCCTCAAAATATGGTGGCTACCTCGCTACAGATCCTCGAACCAACCACCAACCTTCTTTTTCACCAGGTCGTGTCTATCAATCAATGATCGGCAACCGCCATGTCCTACCTCGAGGCTACGTAACGGCTCGCCTTATTTAAGCCTCACTTGAGAATACATGCCGTCGTCAAAGGGGAATAAATGGTGCTCGATATCATCGACGTGTCGGAAACATAACGGTCACTTCAAGTCGTCCCGATAGTCGGCAACGCCGTCGATCCTATGATTAGCGAGGGCCTTGATTCTCTCGGAAGAGGAGGGTGGCACTGGGTAGAGAGGTACCTACAGGAAACCCCCGGTTTCCATCCTGGGTCTTATGCAACCGTCAACTTCCGGAAAAGAATTATCAGCGGCAACTGGCGGTGTCTGATGCTATAACACGGTCAGTGATGCCGCTCTAGGCTGTGAAACCACCCGACCGACCGGCGGTTTCCCATGCGTACCTTTGACCCAGCACACCACACACCGGCTTTGTTGTGGTTTCCCCGGCTACCTGGTCCATGGACAGTCCGTCGGTTGCAGGAACACACACACACACACACACACACGTTACATGCCGCTCGCATTGGCCCAGAACGCCCAGGTTGCACGAGGCGGGGGCCTGCCCGTTTTCATATACGTCTCTGTCACACCCCGGAGGGATAAGCGCGCAAGAGACCGCCGAGAGGGTATTGCTCGCCAAGCCAGCGCCGTTCGTGTGCTTCTGGCGGCGGACGGTCTGGTTGCCAAAGCAGTGGCTGAGCTTGCCGCAAACGCGCCAGGGCCGACCGAGATGAGAGGTCTCCAGGACGGATAAGGTAGAGACTCCCTTGGGCTGGCTCAGCCGACAAACGAACAACGCCAGCCCGGAGGCGCCTCGCTCGTTGAACTCAAGAACCAAGCCGCGTGGCCGCATGCCACACTTGTCCGCAGCCGGCCGTGGAACGTGAACGAGCCTGCATCGGCTCCCAGGCGCATCCCGCGGTTGACCGGGCGTGGCCACAGCGCCATATGATCCCCCGGGCGCGGGCTCCCAAAACGAGGCTGGAGAAGGAACGGAGTGAGGAAGACCCTTACCCGCTCCGTTTGCTGTGGTGGGATGTAAGCACGGCATGGTCGCACCAGAGGCTGGCCGACTCCAGGGCACCGGGTCGATAAGGGACATGGTGATGCAGAGTCGCATGGGGCTCCCGCCTCCTCGCATTGCTAATATCGGTTCTCTCGCCTTCCTTCATCCTTTCCCGTCCCCCAGGTCCCCGAAAGGATCAAGGACGGTGGGGGAGCGAACCAGGAGCTGAGGGGTTAACTAAAGGATATGCAACGCCCATGCCGGCGGTCATACACGAGGGACCTCGGGTCTGGTCGCGTCTACCGCGACCGCAGCCATCGGGGTGCCCCCGATCAGTGATGCCCCTGCTCCGCGGGTTGAATCGCAAAAGACTGAATGGACGAGCCTGTCCGGAAAGACGTGAGACAACGAGGCTTCCGGACGATGCGAACAGGATACTCGTGGCGCATTTGAGGGGAATGACAGGGCTGAAAGGCTTGAGCAGAAGCAGTCCCTGAAGAGAGGGGTTTGTTGCCACAACTCGGAATGTGGAAACGGATAGCACTGGTGTGGCACAAAATGGGATGAAAGAGAACCCGGTACTCTGGCCCAAGACGTGGTTACGGGCGAATCGAGTTGGGTTCCGGTAAACCCTCAAGCCGGTTATGCATCCGTCCTTGGTGGCAGGCACTCGTGGGTGGCAGGCAGCCGGCTTCGGGTTTCATCGAGTTACCTGCACACACCGTCCAACGACAGGATCCCGCGCAGTCATGACGAGTTCGGAGACTCAAGACACGCTCGGCCAATAGGTGGCTCGAAATGTGTGCTTATAGTTTACACGGCAACATCTCGACCGCCGGCCTCCACGTGACGACCAGAGCAGCGAACGGCAAAAGCGGCGTGGGTTCGGACCCGAGCTGAGATGTCGGCCAAGAAGCGTTTCATTTGGAAGCCAGAAGTTGTGAGTGGAGATGTCAGCCAGCGGGGGACGGGCCGGGGCAGGGCTCCGTGACGGGATCCGGGCGCCGTGATATTTCTTTGCTTTTATTCTCGGTTCCAGGCATTATGGTCTTCGACCCCACGACCGTTGTCGGCCGAGTGATTCCATTGTTTCGCTCTTGGGCTCCCGCTGCCCAGTCACGGACGAGCCGGTCGTGGAGGTCAGGCCATACCATGGAGGCCGAGGGGCTGGGCTTCCATATTTGCAAGGGTCGTTTTTCAGCTTTCGGGGCCATCCCCACCACCTCCCCAAGCCCCTGCTCGCTTTTCTCGCTGTGAGTGGCTGAGCACAGCTCTAGGCCCGGTGCAGCTCATGTGGCTAGCCGGATCCGGTAAGACCGCCCCCCTCCAGTCGTTGCTCATGTTTGTGCAGGCTGTTGGTGCTGCTGCTGCTGCTGCTGCTGTGTTGCCTGTGCGTTGTCGACCTCGTCTCCGCCACCCCCGCTGAAATGCGTTGCCGATGCTTTTAGGCTCACTCGCCCATCACGAAGTGCATCTCCTACGTGATCTCTCTGTATTGGTTTTGCTTTTGTATTTGCAGCGTCCGAGGGGACGAGGGGAAATCTGCACACGGCAGGGTCGGACCTGGAATCCTTGCTGGCGCCCTCCGTTTTAGCTGCCCTCAGCCGTTTGCTAGTCTCGCATGGGCTGTCTGGCGATCCTCCGCTGGTGCACATCCCGAGGTCGCCCAATAGCCAGCCGCAGCCGTGGCAACACACACACAGCAAGCCCACCCTCCCACAAGCGCACAGGTGGGCGTTCTCGCCTTGGCCCTAGGATGAACTGCCTCCTTTGCCCTGCCTCGACCTGTCCCACACCACTTCGCAGTTAGGCGCAGGCGGAGAACATGAGATAAGAGAGGAGTCAGAAACAAAACACCACACACACACACACGCACAAGGATGGGGAATGGCCAGGGGTCTAGCTGGCTTGGCTGCCGATCGCCAGGCGGGAGTGCATTTGGTGGCTGGCCAAGGTGCGGGCGCCGTGCCCTTGCGTTTTATTATTATTAGACTGTTCCCCGGTCCCCATGGCTAGTGCCATGGGGTTGATCCTCCCGTCCTTTTCTTCCCAGCCCATCTTCTCTGGACCTGACACACCACGGAGCCGTGTTGTGTTGGTTGGCTTGCCCTCTGCATCGAGGCCGCATCAACGTCGCTGCCAGTCAAGCCAAGGAGCAGCTCGAGCCCAGTTGACTCGAGCCAGCCCCCTTTCCTTCACCAGAAGCACAGCACAGGTGGAGAAGAATGATGCGCCATCTCCTCGGAGCGGCGGCTGTCGCCTGCGCGGCGCTCTCGGCCGTCGTCGACGCCAGGCTGCTACGGTGGGAGGCGGACCCCAACGAAGGGCATTGGCTCCCGGCCCGGGAGACGATGGCTGTGCAGGCCCTGCTCGGCGGCGGCGACGTCTCGCCCATGCCCACCGCCGCCCCGCTGCTGCCGCCGCGGGAGCTCCTCGACAAGCGCAGCGGGACCAACAACACGTGCGCCTTTGTCAGCGGTAGCGCCGGTAGGAAGCCCAGATACTCTCGTCTTTCTTGACGCCGAGGGCGTGCGGCAACCTCTCCCCCGGACTCCCCTAGCTGACAGGAACGGATGACGCGGATGGTCTTTGTATCTAGATATTCCCCTATACTGCGCCACAAGCTCGGGCTGCGTCTTCCACTCGCAGCGCAAGGCCTTTGGCTGCTGCCCGGACCGGCCGTCGAAGTCAAACCAATTCTGCGAGGCCTGGACGACGTGCCTCCACTCGTCCGAGGGCACGCGCCTCGACGTGTCAAACACGGGAGGCGACACCATGTGGTGGTATGTTGTGCTGCCACGCGCCGCCCAACCCCGACCCTGACCCTGACCCTGATGGCGAAAGCTAACCACGCACGACCTCCCCTCATCGCGCAGCGGCAACTCGATGTACCCGAGCTGCGTCAAGCACACGTTTGCCGAGAGCACCCTCCAGGGCTACTCGCTCTGGGGCTGCGGCAAGATCGCTACTACGGACTTGGTGCTGAGGTCGGCCACCGACGGCACCTCGACGACGGGCACCGGCGGCGGCGGCACTAGGGCGACGGGGAGCTCGCGCTCCACCAACGTTATCCAGGGGGTGGGGGGCACCGACGGGGACCAGGGCGCCACTTCCACGCCCGGTAGCGGCGGCGGTTCCGGCCAGACCCAGGATAGCGGCCCGCCCCTCGGCGCCATCATCGGCGGCGCCGTCGGCGGCTTCGCGGCCCTCGCCATCCTCGGCTTCGCCATCTTCTTCCTCGTCCGCCGCAGCAGGCGCACCGGCGCCTCCCACCCCGTGCACGGGCAGCAGAACGGCGTCCCCGGCGCCAGCGGTGGCGGCCCGGCCTCTCCCGGCGGAGGCCCCGCCGCCCCCGTCATGCCCGGATCTCCCGGCCACCCCCAGCAGCAGCAGCAGCAGCAGGGCTACCCGTCGCCGCAGATGGCGGAGCAGCAGCAGCAGCAGCAGCAGCAACATGGCCAGTACGGCTTCGCGCCCGTCACCGACCCGCGCGCCAGCATGGCCAAGCCGCCCTACAGCGTCACCAACAGCGTCTACGACCCGGCCGGCATGAGCCCGCCGCACAGCCCGTCGCCGGGCTACAGCCCCAACGGCGTCAACCCCACGCCGTCGCCGCCCCCGCCCAGCCAGTCGCCCCCGATCGGCCAGCCGCCCCAGCCCTTTGGCGCCGCCTGGGCCATGCCGCCGCAGCAGCAGGGTCCCCCTGGCTACCAACAGAACCAGCAGCAGCAGTATCCGCAGCAAACCCCGCCCCAGCAGTACAACGCCATGCCACCGCCGCCGCCTGGCGCGTACCAGCAGCACCCCCAGCAGTTCCAGCAGTCGCATCAGGACTACGCGGAGCTGCCGACGGGGAGGGGAGATCGTGAGCTTCGGGAGTTGGCCTAGCCTGAGCGCTTGGGTTTTTTTTCTTTGCGAATTGCTTGTTGGAATGCTTTGTTATGCTGGGAAAATACAGTGTATACACAGCTGCATCGGCTCTGTCTTGTCTGCTGGTTGGTGTCATCTGTCATCTCCTCTTCTGTGCTCATGTCATGCATTACATGAACAATGTGGGTTGTTCTTCTGGGGTACAGCTCTTTCCTAATCTCATATCTGAGATGACATGTATATAGATTCTTACCTTGCTGTTATACAGCTAGCCGCTAATCCAACTTTGCGTTATCCATGTCAAGGCACACTCGTGACGTGTGTATCAAAGTGTGAGAACTCCCTAGGGATGGCAGCCATGCGTCAGGGATCAGGGAGCTTAATGATTTTGAAAGACAATGGAAAGTTGCTCTCCTAAAGCTTGGTGTTGCGCGGCTCTGGTGGCCATTTCGCATAGGGGTGGCCCATGGAGCTTGGGATGAATGGATCGAGGGCTAGGGTGTTGACAAGGCCCGGATGAAGCTGGTCGATGCTGGTGACGCCGCACAACTTCATGGTGGTTTCAAGCTCGTCGATCAAGACTGGGAGAGGTGTCAGTTTGGGTGCGTTTGATAGTTTTTTTCTTCTTGGCTTTTACCCCTTTCCATCTTCTCCTTTCCACTTCGAGGAAGAGGGCTGAAGCGGGAGAAAAAGTGAGGCAACGGAATAACCTGAACTCACTCTCAACGTATCGCTGCACCCCCTCCTCCCCATAGGCAAGCCCGTAGAGCACCCCCCTCCCGAGCCCGACGGCGCGGGCGCCGAGGCACAGCGCCTTGAAGACGTCGGTGCCGCGCGAGACGCCGCCGTCGACGTAGACCTCGAGCCTGCCAAACACCTCTGGGCAGCAGCGGTGCAGCTCGAGCAGCACGCACACGGGGGCGGGCGCCGTATCGACGCTGCGGCCGCCGTGGTTGGAGACCAGAATCGCGTCCACGCCCGCGTCGGCGGCGGCCACGGCGTCCGCCGCCGTCTGCACGCCCTTGAGCACCAGCGGCACCCCCGGGCACGCGGCCCGCACCCACGCCAGGTCGGCCCACGACACGGACGCGTCGACGTAGGAGCCCATGACGCGCCCGATGGCCCCGCCGCCGCCGCCGCCGCCCGTGTTGCTGCTGCTACTGCTACTGCTGCTGCTGCCGCTGCCGCCGTCCGGCGCCATGGGGGTTCGCAGGCTCCGCGCGTCGCGCGGCGAGGGCGCGGCGCGCTCGTCGGCCTCGCGCTTGCCGGCCACGGGGGCGTCGACGGTCAAGAACACGGCGGCGACGCCGAGCGCGGCGGCCTCGGCCAGCAGGGCGGCGGAGCGGGCGCGGTTCTTGTCCACGTACAGCTGGAAGAAGACCGGGACGTCGTCTTGTCGTCGTCCTCCAGCCCGAGCCTGGGCCTCGGCCGCCCGCACGGCGGCGACAATGTCGGGCAGCGGGAACGAGGCGCTGGTGGAGACGCACTGGGGCACCCCCAGGCGGGCGCAGGCGCGGCCCAGGGCCAGCTCGCCGTCGCGGTGGAACAGGCGGCCGAGGCTGGTGGGGCTGCAGAAGACGGGGGCGCGCACGCGGCGGCCGAGCACGAGGGCCGACGTGTCGACGGCGCTGACGTCGCGCAGCACGCGCGGCCGCAGCGAGATATCGGCGTAGGCCGAGGCGTTGCGCCGCTTGCTGTGCAGGTCCGTGGCGGCCGACGACAAAAAGGCCCAGGCCTTGGGGCTGTACGTGGCCTCGGCCGCGGCGGCGAAGTCGTGCGTGTTGATTAGGGCATGCAGCAGCGGGCGCGTGGGGGTGTTGTTGTTGCCCATGGTGTGTGTAAGTGCTCCCTGGCTTTGTTATCTATAGTTTGATATCCAGAAATCACAGGCTTGCCTTCAACGGCGGAGCATCCATGTTCGTCTTGACCTTGAGGTCAATATCACTTCTCGCAAAGTCAGTCGTCATTGCCGGCTCCTCGGCTTATCGAGGGCCGAGACGAGCATTGACCGACGGCAGTCGTCGTCGGCACTCGCAACAGCACACAAACCCCCCCCCTCAAGGCCAGCTGAGTCAGGCACCAAACCATCCCCAAAAAAAAAAAAGCCATCAACCCTCCAGCGCCTTCCCAATCAGCGCCTTTGCCCGCTCGCTCAGGTCCATCTGCAGCGCCAGCGCGCGGCCCTCGGCGCTCATCTTGGCCCACGTCTTCCTCAGGATCCCGACCACCTTGTCCTCGTCGAGCTCGGGCTTGCTCTCGAACCCGTCGAACTGGTCGTCGAGGAAGACGAGGCAGGCCACGTCCTCGAGCGCCTGCGCCTCGCCGTCGCTGCCCAGGTTCTCCTTGCGGATCAGCGCCGCCACCCGGTCCACGTCGGCCGGCGAGATGGCCCCGCCGCCGCCGCCGCCGCCGTCGCCCGAGGACGCCGACAGCAACTCGGCCACCTGGGCCGCTGCCTGCGCCTTGAGCTTGGCCCTCCACGTGAGATATCCAGCTCTGGTCATGGGGTAGCTGCTTCGGGGTATTTCCCACCTAGGAATCACGGGCCGGGGACGCGCTGTGTGTCAACTCTCCCCTTTGTTCCTTGCGTCTCTCCCTCCCCCTGGCACCAGAGCAACACGCACCGTCTAAAGTGCTGGGCGCGGCAGGCCAGCTGCAGGACAGGGGATGCGCCGGGGCTCCTCACGGCCAGCCAGCGCGTCATTTTGCGGGCGTAGTGCAGCTCGTACGGCACCCGCTCGCCCTCGGCCCCGACCCGCGCCTCGGCCGTCCTTGGGTCGAGCGCGTGGGCCTCGTCGATGAGCAACATGGCGGCGCCATAGTTAGCGGGCAGTTCTGGTAGCGTTGCCATTGGTCTTGTGTAGTTTTCTGCCGGACGTGTCCTAGGCAGATGCCTAGGTAGCTAGGTGGTTCGGTAGGCTGGCGGGTGTTGGATAGTGGCGGGTGTTGTGTTTGTTCCAGCTCCCAAATCCGAAAACCCGTCAATCTCTCCCTCACCTTTGTCACCGGACGAACGAGATTTATGAGTCAGCAAATCACATTGTGACATGTGATTGGTCGTGTCTAGAACCTACTACACCCAGGCGCTTTGTCTGTTTTTATATTGGCACAACCGTGTATTTCCACTCTTGTCTTTGAGCTTCTGTTTCTATGCAACGGCTTTGATGTATGTGTCTAGGACAAGACGGACATTAGCTAGATACTAGCCTAACTGGTTGTATATGTGCTGTTGTCGCTACTGAAGTTAATTGATCTATCTTGCCATCACCAGGTCTCTTCCGAGACACAGTCACCGATATGGAGCACTCCAAGTTTGCCGTGCGAGCAATCGTGGACCTTTTCCCGGCGTGACCTTCCTCTCACATTGCGCTCAGAGAATTCTCCCGACTTCCGTCTTTGCCGTGCTCTTTTGAACACTCACCCTTCTGCATCCTGCACAAACATCTGGTGCCCTCTCTACCTTCTTTGGCATGCTTTCTCTCTTCTGGCGCATATCTACTACCAACCAGGAAGACGAGCCCTTCATTTGCCAATAGCACATCCCCGAACGACGCGAATCCAGGATCCTGGCAGCCATGGGCGCCGGAAAGAACGGAGCCGGGTACAAGCTCCATCTGACCAACGCCTTCATTCCGGGCAGCCCGCTGGTGGTTGCGACGTCGTCGTTGTCGCCACGCCCGTTGGCACCTGCCGAAACCCCGGGCAGCATGGTCGCCAACGATTCTGGGAGCAGCGAGACGGACGAGACCGACACCACCGACTCCAGCGGCGACGTCACCGACTCGGCCGGGCAGGTCGAGTGTCTCAGGAAGGCCGGCAAGAAGCTGGCAGGAACGCACAGCAGGGGAGGGCAGAAGGAGCCCGTCTGCTGCAAGAAGAAGGCAGCGGGCGCGCTCAAGGCCTCGGCCGACGAGACCGATGCCGGCTACAAAGCCGACTGCAACGAGGACTCTGAAGCCTCGACCTCGCAGGACGAGACCACAGAGACCGAGTCGAGTGGCGAGGAGGTCTCTTCGAGCGAAGCTGCTGCCGATGCCGCTGTCGAATCCGCCGCAGACCCATCAACCGAGGACGCTTCCACCGATGATGCGAGCAAGGAAGATTCGTCGACCGAGGCGGTTGTCCAAGGCGAGCAGTCCGCCGGCGACGACGACTCAACCAATGAGGACGCCACGACCACTGAGGGGGCCACCGATAGTCAGCCCGAGGCACCACCTGCTGCGGAACCCACCCAGGCCCCGGCCCCATCGGCCGCCGCCCCGGGCGACTGGACCCCGTCTCAGGACGCGGCCCTGCGCGCCATGAAGGAGGGCGGCGAGACGTGGGCCGTCATCGCGTCCGCCACCGGCCAGGGCAAGAACGCCTGCAAGGCTCGCTGGAAGCAGCTGAACGGCGGCGGCGGCGGCGGTGAGAAGAAGCCCCATTCGCCAAAGGAGGCGGCCAAGAGCGCCGACACCAACAACAAAGACGGCGAGAAGGAACCGGCGGGCGAGGCGGCAGAAACCGACGACGAGAGCCCCTTCCCGCCACCCCCAGAAGAAGAAGAGGACAGCAACGTGGCGCCGGCCAACAACACGACGGCCAACGAGGCCGACAATGACACCACGACCACGGCAGCAGCGGCGGCGGCGGGATCCGAAAGCAAGAAGAGCAAAAAGGCCAAGAAGAAGGCCAAGCTCGAGCCCGAGGTCAAGAAGAAGATGGAGAAGAACAGCAAGAAGAGGCACCACAAGACGCAGCAGCAACAAGAGCCCGAGAACGCCAAGCTCGGCCACGAGGTCGTCCTCGTCCAGACCGCCGACGAGGCCGACTCGGAGCCGTCGGCGGCACCACCACCTCCTCCCGCCCGCCGCGGCGGCGGCGACGACAGGGTCCGCAACTGGCTCGCCGTGCACGCGCCTCGATATCCGCCACCGCATCAGCAGCAGCGACACCACCAGCAGCAGCAGCAGTGGCAACAGTCCTGGTCCGCACAGGACCGCGCGGTGCTCGAGGTCCTGGAGCGCAAGCGCCGCGTCGAGCGCTGGCTGGAGCTGCAGGCCGGCTTCTACAACGCCACCGGCCGCATGGTGTCTGCCGAGGTGCTCAGGGCTCAGGTCGAGGAGCTGGAGCGCGCCGGCCAGATGTAAGTGGGCAATTGCGGGTTTTTTGTATGTTTTTCTTTCCCGTCTCTTTTGCGCACTGCTTGCGCAGCCACGACGTTTTCACATTGCTGGGTTTATGGGGGGCCATTCCCCGACAAGTGAGCATGCGAGATTTGTGACATGTCGTTCTTCACTTGTCTGCCGGGCCTTGTCCGTCCATTCTGATCTAACTTCGTTGGCTTGCCGATTCCCACCCGTGTTTCGCTTTCATTTTGTATTTCGCCTTGATTCTGTATCGCTATGGAACTATCCCATGCATATTACCCTTGCCTTCGTGGTGTGCTTTTTTGCCTAGGCCAAGGGGGCCGAGATTGTCGCTGGAGGCACCCACTACGAAAACAGAGCACACTAGCTAGTACCGACATCGGGATAAGAAATCATTGCGCTGCCTCATACTCGTGCGGGCTAAAAGCGCCTGCAATTTAACGGTCCTCCGGAGTAAAGTGCGGCGGGGCAATTCGACGTTTTCGGGGCAATTCGACGTTTTCGGGGCAATTCGACGTTTTTCTGTAACATTTTTCCCCAGCCAAATTAGCTGGAAACCAATGTATCGCCGAAAAAAGTAATAGTTAGCCGAATTCCTGTAAGCACGGTGCATAGCCAAAAAACCATCGTAATTTTAACCCCGCCAATTTAAGCCTTGCGCTTTTGGGTTTTCCAGCCAAATTTTACCGAAATGCCCAGGATCCGGTGCAAAAAAAAGCGCGAAAAGGCCCGGGCTAATAAAGCCCGGGTTTTGATAGCTTTGGAAACTTTCGATTAAAACGGCTTTAAAACCTTCGCCGCTTGCGCGCGGCAATACGGGATAAACCTTTGTTTACTGCAAAAGCGCCGGCAAGGAAGCGCCGGCAAAGTAAAAAACGGCGGGCATAATAAAAAGTTAATAAAAACCGAAAATTTTGCGTTGCTTGCGTAAGTTAATTGGAAGCAATTAATTGGTAAGTTAATCCAAGCGGTTTTAAATGCGATTTGTTAATAAATAAATTAACCTTTTTTAAAAAACGCCGTTACCGTAATTGCCGTTGCTTAAACCGTTAATTCGATTTTCCGCCGCCGGCTAACCTTTTTTTCGACGAACGCTAAAAAAAAATGGGCTTAAATTTGGCTTTTGGCTTATAAAAAATTGCTAAAACGGGTAAAAGGAAAGCCGCAAATTATTAAAAAGCGCGCGGTACAAAATAAATTGGTATTAAAAAAATGGTTTAATTTTTACGCGCGGTATGTAAAAAAATATTAAATTAAGCCGGAAAATAAATGAAATTCCGATAAAATAAGCTTTTAAGTAAGCGTATTTTAAAAAAGCTTTATTTGGTGCTATACGGATATCGAAGCTTGGTTTTAAAGCAATCCGGATTACCGGAATATCGTTACAATTGTTAAAACCTGTTTGGCCGCCGGCGCAACGATTTTTCCGTTTATTATTATAGCCGGGATTTATATTAACGAAAAATACGTGCGCAACTTTTTAAATTTAAAAACGATTTTTATTACAAACGAAAACGGTTAAACCAACGATTTAATTGCGTTTAATTGGTTTAATTACTTCGTTAAGCAAGCAACGCTTTCGTTGCCCGACGAATATCGCTTGTTATTAATTAATAATTACGGATTTTACCTAACGTTGCCGTTTTGGGAAAAGTGCAAAAAAAAAAAGATCGTAATTTTCCTTTTTTTTCCGCATACAATTTATAAATTGCAGCTTTTTAACGTTGGTATTTTTTTAACCTTTAAAGCCGCGTATTAACGGGATTTCGCACGGTAAATTAAGCAAAGCGCAATTAATTACAACCGCGCAAAATTTTTTAACAGGCTTTACAATATGCGCCGGCGTGCTTTTAAAATTAATATTATTAAATTAACCTGGTTTAAATGCGGGTTTTAGCTTTTCGATCCGGAAATTGTGCTTAATAATTTGGAAAATCCGTTTATTTTGGTTACATTAAAAGCCGTAATTACCAAAAAAGTTGGTTATATTTTTAACGCAACCGAACAATTTCGCTGGATAAAGCAACGAAACCGGTTTTTTGCCTTTTTTTTTAACGAAATTAACGAAACCAACGAAATTTTGCATTTGTTAAAAACGCCGTTGCTTGTTTTGCTAGCCCGCGATTGGAAAAAAGCTACAATTTTAACGTTGGATTTATTAGCAATCCGCCCGTACGAAAATTGGCTTTAAAAGCGCTTGCAATCTTTTGCCGCAACGGGCAAGCCAATTTCGTTAACGGTAATTTACGTCGCTTTTAAAGTAAAAAAAGTTAACGAAGCGGTAATATTTGCAAGCGCGCGCGCAATCGAAAAGCTTTAGCAATGGAAAAAAGCGAATATTAATCGAAAAAGGAAAAGTTTTTTTAATCGATTAATTATTAAAATAAGCCCAATTTTAGCAAGCGATGTACAATTGCAAACAATTAATAACAAAAGCGCGCGCTTTATCGGCTAACGTAAAAAGCGCCGGCGCTTTCGTAGCAAAAATATTAAAATAAAATTAACAACTTTTAAACGGTGGTTAAAAAATTACAAACGAAAGGAAAGCAAACGATTAAAGCAATTGCGGGCACGTTTTATTTTGCAAAAAGTACGGCAAAACGAAATTACCGCGTTGGTGCGTTTGCAAAAAATTTTCTTTTAAAACGAAATCGATTTTATCCGGATATACTGGCAATAACGCCGGGATCGTAACGATTGGTTCTTGTTAAGGGTTAATCGGTGCAAAGGCGGGTAGTTACCGGGTTACGGGCCGGATGCGGTGTTTCCTTTGTTAAGCTTCCGTAAATCTCTTACCAAAGGTGCTATCGCCAATAAAAATTGTTCCTTTTTTAACCCCCCTTTCTTTCGTGCCCTTTCGGGCACGCGGGATTGGTTTTATAAATCCTTCGCGCTTTATGCGCTTTCGTGCAATTTAAGCTTTACCTTATTTTTTAACTTTGCCGTTATGCTTTGGCCGCAATACCGGTAATTCGCCGGCATATTTCCGGGGGGTTTGTGCCCGGTTAATTGCTAGCGCCCTTTTTTTCCTTTTTTACCGGGCGGTTTTGCCCGTGCATTTAACGCTTTTCGCTTTTTGCCGGGCGGTTTTGCCCGTGCTTTTAACATATTGCCCCTTTTCGATACGGCTTATTCCAAGCCGTTTATACCGCGCGTGCAACCCCGTAAGTAACCGGTAATTTACGGTATTCCGTTAAGCCGTTTTAATGCCCGGCAACGCTTAAAAAAACCGGCTGTAAAGTTTTGTAGCATTCGGAAAAATGGGTTCGTACCGGCATATAAAAGGCTTTTTTTCCCGTTTAAAGTTATAAACCCTTTTTTTTTCCTTTTTATGCATTTAACAATTATTCCAATAACTTTAACAATTATAACCGTAAATAATTGGTATTTAACCGTTCCTTTTAAATATTTAAATTTAACCGGTAATTGCAAATATTATCCTTTGTACCCGATTACGTAAAAAAAATGGTGTTTTTTCAGGTATCCGCTTCGGGTTTTTCGGTTCCAACCGGCCCGCTAACCTTTTTTAACAACCTTTTGGTATTTTCCTTAATTATTATGGTTTAATTAAACCCGAATTCGAATTTGCCAAAACTTCCAATTTTTTAAATTTTTAATAATTGCTTTGCCGGTAACCCTTTAATGGGCCTTTTAAATGCAGCGGGTTTATCGGGCTTTTTTGCGCTTGCAGCTTTTTAAAATTCCCGCAAACGTTTTGCCGGTAACCCCCCGGCGGGCTTTAACTGCCGCGGCAAAAAAACCTCCGCCGAAAAAAAGCGTAAAACGCGCAATAAACGCCGCCGCAACGCTTTTAATTCCAATAAATTTGCCCCCGAAACGAACATTACTTTTTTTTCGCTTTATATAAATATTTGCAACGCGCTTTCGTTGCGGGAAGTTATTAATTTTTAATAAAGCAATAATTAAAACTTTATTTATTTGCTTTTTTTTAAAAATAATTATACGGAGCGTGCGGTATTTTATAACCGTTATTTTGGTTGTTAAACATATTAAAATTATGCCGTTAACCCCTGTATGCCGATATGCTTCGATAATTGTACGGGGTTTTCCAAATATATTTATTGCAAAAACGTGGTTAGCAATAAAGCTTGCGTTAAATTTTCCAAATGGTTTTGGAAAATGGCCCAAAACTTTTACAAAATTTTAAATACCATTTACAAACAATTGCTTAAAACGATACCGAAACTTTTTAAAAAGCTTATTAAAGCTTAATTTTGCGCCCGCAAAGCTATCCAAAAAGCTAAATCCTTTTATACCATATTGGCCGAACAATTTGCGCGTTACAAACGTTAAACCGTTATTTAAAAGCGCATTTAGCGCAAAATTGCTAGCGTTGCAACATTAAAAGCTATTTAAAACATTTTCCAATAATTTTACGCTATTGCCGTTTAAACGAAAAAGCAAGCTTAAGCTTTAGTTAGTATCGGTAATTTTTTTAACGAAATAAAAGCGTTTTTTAAGCGTTTCGAAAAAGGTATAGTTGCTTTTTTTGGTAGCATTGCCGTTAGCTTTGCCACGATTGCGGCGCATTTAAATACCCAAACTTACAACCGCGCGGTTCTTTATAAAAGTGCAGCGTTTTTATTAGCGCTAAAAAATGCCGCTTTCGGCGCCGACGATTTTGGCGGCAATAATTGTAGCGCCAGCAAAAAAAACGTAATTTCCGGAAATTTTGGTTCCTTTGGATACGGTATTTAATCGATTTTTTTTACATATTTTTTTAATTAATTATTAATATCCCTTTTTCGAAAAGTGGTTAATTTTAAATTTTTTTCGTTAATTTGTTATTGTAAAAAGGACTTTGGGGTGGAGTTTTATGCTCGTAAAGCTCCAAACGGCGTAAAACAAAGGTTTAATAATTATTAAAGGGTAATTAAGTTAAAATGTTATTATTTAGGTTTAAAAAAAAAGAATTTTGCTAAAAAAAAGGAACGGATTCAACCTTTTTATATAAGTACAAAGGAGCTTTAAATAGTTAATGCACAAATCCCGAATTTGTGCATGGCAATCCTTTAAAGCCTATGCATGCGCTTAATAAGTAAATTCCAATACCAATTATTTTTTTTTTGGTAACGCATGCATGGTAAAACGGAAAAAAAAGAAATTTGCAATTCGAATGCGCAATAATAAATAATTTGCTAAATCGGCAATTTAAGTAACATATAAAAAAAAAATGCTTATTTAGGTTGTTTTACCGGATACGTATTGCTATTAAACAATAAACGTAAATGGAGGTTTGGGAAATTATGTAAATTTTGGTTCCAAAGCTCCGAAATCGCTAAATTTAAAGTTATGGGCGTTTGGGATCATTTTAAATTAAGTGGGAAGTTTTTGTAATGTTTAGGAATGGGTACGTTAAGGGCGAAAGTAAAGGTTAACGGATAAAGGGCGGTAAGCCTTTATTTAGCCCGTTAATCGTCGATTTAATTACTTCAATTTCTTCCTTTTACAACCCCGTTTTTTAAGTTAATTTAATTAGCTACGTGCGCTTTGGAATCGTCGTTTACAATTTGTACGCTCGTTATATTGTCGTTTTCCCATTTTCCTTTACTTAATTTTATGCTTTATACCTTTTTAATAGCATTATAAACCTTTCGCTTGGTTTAAACGCTTAAAATCCGTTCGACCACGTTTTGGAAAGCGTTATTTTACTGGAAAAAGCTTAAAATTAGTAATCGGCTGCTTGTATCGCTCCAAAACAAAGCTTTACAGCTTACCTTTAAGTTATGCTTTTTCCCGTTAAAAAGTTTAACAAGCTTTTTTCGTTTCCGGTACTACAATTTATATTTAAAAGCTTGCCCGCGCCCGCTTCGGTCGTTTCAATCGCTTTTATTGGTTGCAAAAAAAAGCGCGCCGCTTTCCGCAATGGCCGTAATGGTTTTAATGTTCGTAAGCGCGGTAAAAAAAATGCTAATCGAACAACAATTTGCTTTGGCTGCTTTAATTCCGTGCTTTACGGCAAGTTTAACGTTAAAAGGGATATAATTTAGCTTTATGTTAAAAAGTTAAGCTTTAATAGCAAGCGTTGCTAGCGTTATATTTTTGGTTATTCGTGCAAGCCCATGTAAGGATTTCTTTTTTTTCGTTTTTAAATTTTTTGCGCTAACAATTGCTAATTTTTTGCTTGCTTATCGTATTGCTATAAAGTTTTTTGTTAAAGCGCTTAGCAACAAGCTTTATAATGCAATATATTATTTCCATTTTATATATTTTATGCTTTATAAATTTGCTAACGTTATTTTTCCGATTATAAACATTTTAAAAATAACGCACCATTACTAAGCAATTTTTTAAGCTTAATGCTAAGCAAGCCAATCCGAATGCCAATTTTGCAATTATAATTTCGGGTTAGCAATACGAAACGGAGCGTTTAACCGCGCTTCGTTTTTTTAAAGCTGCGTTTTTCGAAGCTTTAAACAAAGGTTTTTCCGTTTAAAACGATAATGCGGATAAAAAAAATAAGGATTATAATAGCAATAATAATTAGCTTTATTTTACAGCGTTTATAAAGCTTAAAAATCCCGTTGCTATGTTTGCAATTGCTATTAAAAAGCAAAAAAAGCAAAAGAAAAAAGGGAATAGAATTTTTGTTGTTAAAAGCAAGGTTATTGCTTTTAGCTTAAGTAATGCTGGTAATGTTTAAGCGTAAAAGCTTAAAAATTGTTTTTTTTGCTTTTTTTATAATGGTTTCGTTATAAAATAAATGTATTAATTTTGCGCTTTTTGTTAATTTATGGTTTGGTGCTCGTTGCGCGTTGGTTTGGGGTTTTTTTGTTTTTTCCTTTTATTAAAGCCATTATATGGCCATTGCCGTAAAAATTTTAACATGCCGATTTTTATTTCCAAACTTTCCTTTTATATTTTGGTGCGGTTAACCCAACCTTTAATTCGGATTAAGGTTGTATTAATGCTTACCAATTCTTTTAATGCCCGGTTTAATTGCTTTTTCGTTATCGCATTTGCCGGATTGTTTGTTCCGGCAATCCAACGGATTTCGTCGATTTCTTTATTTTTATAAAATTTTCGAAGCGCTATTAAATTAATTATAAGCTTTTTTTTTGCTATTATGTTTAATTAAACAAAGCATTAATAAAGCAAAAAGCTATTGGTGCAAAAAATAAATTTAGGTTGGATAAAATTTAACCGTTTAAAAATCGTTAAGCAAGCTTTTTTTATAACGTAACCGGAATTAAACCCAAAAACCATGCCGTAAATTTTACTGGCTAGCACATTTTTTGTAATTTTTTTGCATTTAACCAAAATTCAATGCAAAATGTTGCCGCGTAATTAAAATTTGGTTTGGTGCTTGTTCGATTTTTCGTTGCTTAATACAAAAATAAACCCAATTTGCAAAAATATATTATTGTTATTTGCAAAGGATCCATTTACGAAAATGTAAAGGTTTGCGCTTTCGAAATTGATAAAAACGTTGTTTAAACTTTTGTTAGCGTTTTCGATTTGTTAACCAATCCTTTTGTTAAGCTTGTCGATATTTTCCTGTATTGGGTTTATTTTTTATGCGGTTAAGGCGTAATTAAAAGCTGCTTTGGGCTGGCATATAAAATTAATGTACGCTTTACGAACCTTTTAAAATACAAATTATTGCTTGTAACTTTTTAAATTAGCGTTTACAAGCTTTAGTTTTTCGCTTTGGTTTTTTTGCTTTAATTTAATTCGGCCTTTTTTAACCATAATTTTTTTATTGTTAAAATCGCTTTATTTCCTTTCCGTAAACATCGAACGCGGTTTTGCTTTAAACTTTGCTTTTTAAAGCGCTTTTTTTTCGAAATTTATAAACGTTTAATTTCTTAGGTTTAGCGTATCGTTTATTTGCATCCTTACCATTCCAAAGCTTATATTGCGCTTTGTAATAAGGAAATACGGATTATAACACAACGATTTGCAATTTAACCGCTTTTTGTAATGCTTTTAATACGTAACGTACCAATGCAATCCTAATTCCGTTAAGCCGTATAAAGGTTTAACGATTTAAAGCAAAGTGCTAAAAAGGAAACGTAAACGTAACTTTTTAAATAAGCGCAGCAAAACGGTCCTTTTAAAATTAATTGCGCTTTGGGTATACGTTTGGGTAATGTTCCGGGTTATTAATAAAATGCTTCGGTTTTAAAGGCTTAGTGCAAGCGCGAAAATTAACCGTTGGCTATAACGCATAATTGTAAAAGTTTGCGTTAAAATGGTTTTTTTTTCGTTATTATTAATATTTTAAGCTACGCATTTCGTTTTTTTGTAAAGGGCTTCCGGTATCCTTTTTATTTTTTTTAACGAAACGTGCTTTAAAAATTTTAGCGCTTGGAAATTGTTTTTTACGGATTGTTACGATTATTCCGGCGTTAAATAAAAACGTTATTTCGTTCCAATCGGCTTTTTAAAATAAAGGTTTTAAAGCTTTAATTAAACCTTTTGCTTTATATTCGATTAATAAACGCATGGCCTTTGCTTTTTTTGGTAATAAATATGTTTTGTTATGCAATTTAATTTCCAATCGCTCCTTTGGTTTTAAAGGTTTATTGCTTTTTGTATTTAGCGTTAGCGGTTTTAATCGATTTCGTAATTGTACCGGTATTTTGTTTTTCGGTAAGCGTCCGCGTCGTTTTGGCTGTACCGGTTCGAGGTAAACAAATGGTTTTGGAATTTTAATTTATTGCTTTTTTAGCTCGTTGTTTGGCTATTTTTTAATTCGATAATAAAGCTTAACAAAAATGCTTTTAAACGTTACCAAACCGTTAACGGTTTCGATCGTAACGTTATTATTTGTTACCGTTGCTATTTTGTGCGGGCTTATCCATCCTTTTTTTTTCGGAACATTAAAACCTTTGTTCCAAAAGCAAAAAAGCTTGGTTTAACGGTGCTAATATTAAGGTTATTTCGGGTATTAATAGCGTTTGCAACCTTTTTTTTAGCAATTGCTTTTTAAAGCTTTGCTATAGCCTTTTTAATTGTTTGCGCGCGTTTGGTTATAATTAGTAACGGTAATAATTCGTGGTTTATTTGTAGCATGGCTTTAAAAACAAATAGCGTTAAAATTAACCCGTTCGGTTCCGCGGTATTGTTAATTGCTTTTACAGTTTTTTAAAGCTATAATTTTAGCGCAAAATTTGGGCATTTAATTTTTATAATCGAATGCGTTTTGCGTAACATGCTATGCGTTCGTTCGACTTTTTTAACGGCGTAATGGGCCTTAACGGGAACTTGCTTGCAAGTAATTTTAAAAAGCTTTGCTTTAGCTTAAAAGCCGCTTTTCGAAAAATAAGTGCTTGCGTTGTAAGTAATTACGTTTAAAGGCTTTAAATAAACATTTATCCAGTAACGCTTTAAGGTTTTCCAAGTTTTTTTTGCAAATAGGTTTTTTAAAATCGCTGCAGCATTAAATTTTATGCTTTTATTAATTACATAAAGGACCGGTTTGTTGCTTAAATAGCAAACGTTAATAACGATTTCGTAATTAAAATCCTTATCGTTTTTTAACGTAAATTTAAATTGTTGTGGTGCATTTTTTTTAATTTAGCATTTGTAATATATTTTATTAATTATTTCCAGCGCGTTGCAATTTGTATCGTAGCTTGCCCGTTAAAAGGTTTTGTGCAATTTATCGACGGAAAGGTGGTTAAATCGCTTGTAAACGCGCCGTAACTCGGTTTTTGTTAAAAATAAAAATCCTGCGATTTTTTTTTCGGCGGTTATTAAAATTTTGTTTATAACGTATATCGATGCGTTAAAAAAAAACCATGGGTAACCGAAACGTTTAATAATCCGCACGCGCGTTTTGTTGTGCTTTACGAATTCGTTGCGCGTATTATTAAGGTATATACTTAACGCGTTTATATTTTTAAGTAATAAAAGGAATGGTATTGGGTTATTAAAAACGTAAAACGTAATATTGCTAATAAGGGTTGGTATAATAATCGCGCCAATGCTAAATTCGGTATTTCCTGCTCCAAAAGTTACAAAATGCTTAGGTGCTTTGTAATCGATTTTAAGCTTTTTTATGTGCTGTTGCAATGTTTAAATTTGGTTAATTCCGGCCGTTAAATTGGCTGCCGCGCCGGTGTTTAGCAAAATGCCGTACTATTGGGTATTGCTATCGATATTGTTATGGATAAGCATTTTGTAAATGGGAGCTTTAATCCTGGCTTTTTGTGCTTTTTAAGCGTTTTTTGCAAATAAACGGTGCTTCCATAATTTGTTTATAAAGTACGATGCTATACTTTGTGTAAAATACGTTATTGCATGTTCCTTTTGGTCGCTTTCGTAATTATGGTTATTAATTAACTTTTCGTTATCCTTTTCCAATGCGCTTTCGTTTTTTAAATCGTTTGGTTTATTAATCGAAAGGAATTTCCGATAGCTAATTGGGGGTTTGCCTTTGTTTTTTTGCTTTTAACGCTAGCGCTTTTTGTACTTTTTTTGCTTTTTTTTAAATGCTTTGTTAATTAGCAATTGGGCTTTTTGCAAATTTAATAACTTTGTTTGGCATGTGGGTTGTAAGTTCGTTTTTGCTTTTATTCCTATTTTTATTAATTTCGTTAATTTTTGCTTTCGTACTTTCGTTCCGTATAATGTTGTGCCGGGATTTTGTTGTTGTTTTTAATTTTTATAACATTGCGAAATACGTTAAAAAAGCTTTTAAAAGTATCGGGATAGTTAAATAACGCTATTTCGAGCTTGGGGATTTTTTAAATTGCCTTTGCTATATTTGCTACAAATTGCTATTTATTATTAAAATTTGGGTTTAACGCTTGGTAATATCGTTGCAATTTATCGAAAAGTTTTTGTAAAATTTCGATATTCGTTTTTCCGGTGCTTGCAAGCTTTAAACGGACGGTATAAAAGTAAATTGTTATCCAATTTATTTAATATTGGGTTTGCACGATTTTTATTTCGAAATAATTTTTAAATGCAAAATAAATGGTTTGGAAAGTAAATATAAGGCTAATGTAATTAACGTAATATTTATTCGCTTTGCTTTTTAAAATGTAAAAATATAGCGCGTAAAATTATAAATAATTTATTTTAAGCATTTAAGCGTAAATTATAAAGTGGAAAAGCTTATCGTTAATAATGTTATACGGTTTTCCTGTATACGAATATGTATTGTTCCAAATGGTTTTAAAAGTGCGTATGGTAATTGCGTCGATTAATGCGTTGGTTATTTCCCGTAAAGGGATTTAACGATAATTAAGCTTTTTGGTGTAAAGGTAACGAAATAATGTATAAAGGGTTTGGTTATGTAACGAATGGTAGGCATAGCTAGAAAAGTTTGGTAACGGTTTTTAAAAGGGCGGTTTTTAAAAGGGCGGTTTAGGAAGTAACGGAAGCGGAAAGTATGGTTTTGTATTTCGTGCGCTTGGTTTTTGTTTTTCCTTTGCGCGTTCGCGCTTTGGAACGTTAATTACGAAATTTTCGTGCTTTTGTTTTTTTGCTTGTAACGGGTATTTTGGCCATGGTTGTATAGGCTGGGGTAATTGGAAAAATTGGGGTGGAATTGTGCTTTTACGCTTTTTCGCAAAGGTATACTACGGTTCCTATTGTTTTTGGAACGATATGGTTTAAAGGTTAAAGCGAAAAGGTAATTTTATTTTGCTTAATGCTTTTGTAAAAATTATTAAAAAATTTGTTTTCCAACTTTTTTGCGCTTTAAATTATGCTTTTGGTAATTGTTCGTTTTTTACCGCTTTTTGCGTTGTATTAATTGGTTAAAAAAACGTTTTAAAAGGTAATTAACGGGAAAGCATAAGGTTTGGAAATGGCAGCTTTATAAGCTTTTTGCTTTTGCTTTTGGTTAATCGTAACGTTAAGCTTAACGTAAAGCTTGGTTTTACAATAAAAGCTTGTAATTAGCTAAAAATTTCCGCCAATTTTTCGCCGAATGTTTTTAAATTAAAAGTAGGAAAGTGGATTTTTTGCTTTCGGAAATGGCTTTGCAAAAATTGTTGGATCGTTAGGTTTACCGCGTTAAAATTTGTTTTAATTTAATTACTAAATTTTTTTTTAAAATTGGTTAACGTATCGTTGGGATTTAACTTTTTCCGATTGTTATACATTCATTTAATAATCCATGTATTTTTGCCGATTGCGGAAACGTTTATTAAATGCTTAGCGATTTTGTGGTTGGGGTAATTAAGGAAAAGGAAATAAAAAATTAACAAAAAGTTTAAAAAAAGGTTTAAAGTATCGATAACTTTTTTTGCATAAAATGCTTGTTTTTCGCAAAACATTTTTGTGCTTGTCGGGCTTTAATCTTGTTTATTAAGGATTGCGTAAGCGGAGGATTTTCCTTTTTCCATAGTAAAATGGTAAAAAGGATGGTAAGCGGTATTATTTAAAGCAATCCGTTTTAATTGTTTAAACCGGGTTAAAATGTTAGCTTGGGGGATTGCACAGCGCCCCCTTTTAAGGCTCTTTTAATTTTAATGGCCGAAAGTAAATGAAAAATGCGTTGCCGAGCGTCGAACCAATAATTTTTAATTCCTAAATCTTTTACTTAACCTTAGTTAATTAAAAAACCCTTTTCCTTGCTTTTTTATATTGCTTTTTGCAATATTAATTAATGTAAAAAGGACTTTGGGGTGGAATTTTATGCTTGTAAAGCTCCAAACGGCGTAAAATAAAGGTTTGATAATTATTAAAGGGTAATTAAGTTAAAATGTTGTTATTTAGGTTTAAAAAGGAAGGAATTTTGCTAAAAGAAAGGAACGGATCCGACCTCTTTATATAGGTACAAAGGAGCTTTGGATGGCCGGTGCACAAATCCCGGATTTGTGCATAGCGATCCTCCAAAGCCTGTGCATGCGCTTAACAAGTAAGTTTTAACAATTATAGCTAAAACCACAATTTCCTTTCGTTATATTGCTTTTGCAGCATTGCAAAATCCCAATATTTTTAATTACCAATTAGGTTTTAATGCCCCAATAAATAATTTTAAAATGCTTTTTTTCGCCCCCCAATGGGTTTAAATACCGCCAATATGCATTTGCCGCTACCCAAACGCTTAAGCCCGTCCGCCGTGCTATCCGAAGGTTTTTTTATTTCTTTTTCGGGCAAATAATAATGTTTTTTACCATAACGTACGTTTAAAATGCGGTAATTGCTTTAACGTATTGCGCTAAGCATGCCCTTTACGGGCTTTTCAAAATGTGCTACACTTTGCATGTTTTTTAAAATTTAAATGTATTGCACCATTAATTTGGGGCGTTTCCCGTACTATACCGTTTTTATTTAATTTTTTATTTATAAAATACGATATTTTACGGTTATTACAAACCGTTTACGGGTTTTTTTACGTTTTTTCCCGGTAATTAGCCGGTTTGGCACGTTAAAACATTTTTTTAAACCATTTTTTTGGTTTTTGTTATTCCTTTTTTGTAATACCCCCGTCCTTTCCGGGTATTTACCCGTTAAAATCCGGTATTTTCCTTATCCTATAAATTTGCTTCCAATAAATTTATTTTATACGCTTAAACAATTTTTTTCGTAATATCCTTTTTTAAAATTTATAAATTTTCCGATTTGTTATAATTTATTTATTTAATTAAATATTTTCGTTTTTGCAAAAGCCCTTTATATTTTAGCAAAGCTTTTATTTCGAAACGATTTTTTTTTTTTTCGATTTTTGGTTTTTTATTTTTTGGTTTTTCGCCGGGCTTTTTTTTAAACGCCCGCAACAAATTTGCCGGAAATACGTTATATATCCGGTAATTTACCGAAAGTTTTAACCGGAACGTTAAACCGGTTAACCCAACCATTTTTAAAATTTGAAAAGGTTTTAACTATTTGTTTAATAATTTTTTTAACGGCTTTTTTATTTTAATATTCGCCGTATTTAGCAATACCCAATTGCTTACCCCGAAAAGCACCGGGGTTTTGCTTTTATTATAATACTTTTTGTACGTATTATTCGCTTTTTTAGCAATTTTTTGGCTTGCTTCCTAATTGTTTCCAAAGCCCCCGCTTTAATTTTGGCCATTGCCAAAGGTTTTT